TTTATTGAGCGTTACGTACGTATTAGGTCAAAGGTTACCACAAATTTAACAAAACCTCTATTTTACGAATCCCCCGATTTACGTACGCCCTCTGGTCCCGTACCGTACGTAAAATCGAGGTTCTACTGTATTTGAATAGTTTCAGTACATAGTGTACACACCAAAATTAATAATCGTCCCATCCGTAACATTTGAGGAGTTTTTTTTTACATTAATATGAAAAGTAATACTACAAAAAACTTGATATTCAATTTTCTCCTACAAAAAAACTACAAGTTAAATATTTTATCAACAAGTTTTATCAAATGCCCCATAAAGTACTGTACTAAACCTCCAATTATTTTTTGCAATATAATCATTACAATCTCAAATAGTTTCCTCTGGTTTCTGAATGTATGAACATGGAAAATTCTTGTGAGTCAAAAATAAAAAACAAACTTTCTAACATCTACAACCAACTTAGCAGTCCTGAAATTGCATTACCAGTCATTGTCTAATGAAGATCCACTGATAACAGATTGAAACATTACAAAAAGTATGTACTATCATTGGTTTACGCACAAGAGTTTTCTTTGTTCATGTGATCAGTCAGGGTAAGGAAAAATCAGTGCAAATGAAAGTGATGATGTCACCAATGATAAAAAATACTATAAAATATAGAATATACCTTTGTTGGGTTGCTCTATTGAAGCTGTTTTCTTAAGCTTTTTAGTTGGTCCTTTCTGTCCGAGATTTCTCTTTTTGGCTTCCATTTCTTTTTTTGGCTGACCTTAACTTTCTGTTTGGAAAATTGTGAAACATTCAATTTCAATTCAATTCATTTTTCTTTTTTTATGTACAACTTTTAAAGAAAAACATAAATATTCATTTCATTTCATTTCTTTAGGCACGAGGGCCAAAGATATGCCAATAAGTGAACTTAATCACTGTCCTACGTGGCATATCCATTTAACAACAGGGGACTTAATGGACCAGTACACCAGGGTAACCCCCTATTCTTCTCGAATGATGTACCGGGTTCAAGTGCACACGAGCCAAATGCGTACACTGGGCCTACAATTTAAAGTCCTTATCCGAGAAGACTTGTTCCACCACCGGAACCACTGGCGAGTGAGCCGTTCGAATCAGCGCCGATATTAGAGTTGAAGGTTACGGTGCCTCTGACTTAACCGCTCGACCAATCAACTCGCCAAAATTCAAGAAGCTTTATTGTCTGCTATGCATGTAAGTAAATTTATGTACAGAAAATTGGAAAACGAAGTGAAGATACTTTAAAAAGAGCAATATTTTAAAGATTTGTTAAAACTGGTAAAACCGTTAAAAATTATGGAATTAAAAATTATAGCCTTAGTTGCACTTGTACTAAAAAGATGGATACTATTTAATTAATATCTAAAGAGGCAAAAACCCAAAAAGCAAAAGCTTGTGAAGCGCTGCCTGGAAAAAAAAAAAGAAAGAAAACGTCAATAAATTGTAGAAATATTCTGTTAAAAAATTTAACTTAGTATAAAAAAACACTGTTATAAAATATCTGATTATAAATATAATTACCTGGGATAAAAACATGAACTTATATTTAGTTTTAAAGATTATTTAGTTTTCAAATTCATGACTGAGATATTAGATACTTTTTTAGATTTATTGAGAACAAATTTGTTGATGGGGATTGAATTAAATTGGTAGGTAGGCTGTTCCAAAGTTTGGAACCTGAAAACTGAATATTGTGTTGAATAGACAATGTTTTGTGTAAGGGAATATGTATTTTGTTTAGGGTTCGTGTATTATGGTTATGATAATCTTAATTGTATTCTAAACCAGAACCCTGCGGGTGTGTACGTTCCTTTGTACATAAACGCAGTTTAGAGGGATTTGTAGTCCAGTAATGGTTTCTAATGTTTTTACGTACACCTACACCCCCATACAGGTCCGTCCATCAAATGCTGTATATTTACATACCTGCCAACATTCGAATATCAAAAAGAGGGATGCTATTCATTGGTGACAAAAAATTTAGATGGCAATTATATCCTAATTCCTGTACAGTTGCTTTAAACAAAACAAGAGTAACTTAATTTCAAGTGTACTGTTTATTTACCTCACAACCAAGAAAAAATATGTAAGTTACATTTTAATCAGTAGGCTTACAGACTTCACTATGAAGGGCACGGTATGTTGCATGTTTCGCTGGATCTCATTGGAGTCATAACATCAATATTTATTCGAATGACACTTATAATCTCTGTTCAACATTTCCAGCTTGTGTGTCATTAAAGCACTTTAAGTTTTTGTTGTCATGCTAGGTCGAAGCTTGGTTTTGTTTTTTCGACAATAGAGAAAACTCCCTCAGTCACTACTGCTATAAAATATTACCATAGTTCCCCGGGTAGAATCCCACACGGACTTTACGCCCAACTTTGCGTACTCGAATTTCCCCGGGTGTTTTAATTTTTGGTGACCAATGTTAGTTTTAAGCAATTTTAAGAGTTTCAAGTCGGCAGAATTCGGAGACAATTCCTTTATTTTTTGAGCATTTGTTAAATTTATCAACCTAGGCCTAGGCCGACTTACCCAATCCTCAGACCCTGGGACTTCACCCCAGTTTCGCGTTCATGGGGATGGGATTATACCCGGGGAACTACGGACTAATATTCCCTTCATCAAACTGGCAAGTAGTGGATACTTCTTGCAATTAATTTTTTTTTTAAATTCTAAAAATAGGGACGTCCCTATTTTTTGGTGTTTTTGACATCGGAAATCGGGACGTCAATTTGAGATAACAAATTTTGAAGTATGATTAACATTTTCGGGTATCCAAAGCTGTCATGTCCTAAAAAGTTCCCACCTTAACCCAAAGCATGGTAGGGCTGGGGTGGTGTTGGGTTACACCACAAAATGTCCTTCATTTTTATTTTTTCACAATTTGTCAGATTTGCCACTGTTTGAACTTGACTGGTCAAACCACAGAACCAAAGTTGGCGGTTTTAGAAGTCAAACTTATCCATTTATCATCTACTAAAATAGTCTTCGTTGTTTGACATACCTCCATGGTTTGACCATGGACCTATTGGTTTGACAATAACAAATTTTCTTTCGTTCTTCAAAATCTGCTTAGTGACACGCATGCGTAATAAGTAGAATAGTTATCACATAACTACAACCACTGCTCTGCATACTGCATGTCACGCATGCGCTGTATGGTGGTAGGTAAAACGTGCCTCGGTCAATGATTTATCTTCTAGTTTGCAAAGAGTTAAGAATTCGGAATACTCATTTATTTTACATATTCAAGTATACATGACATGATTATGTTGTAAACCAGTAAAATTACACAGCAGTCGTAAACAAAAAACTTCATTATACTGACGACATATATGTTTTTCTGTGTTTAAAGAACAGTAACTGTGCACAATTTATTTTTTTCTGCACCACTTTCTTTTCGTTTTTTTATATATAGCCCTAGAGAAATTTCATTTCAACGATTGTAAATAGGCTATCAAACTAATGCCGCCAAAACTGTCAACTTTTGCTCTGTGGTTTATCAAGCCACAGACCTCTAAAGTCTAATTCCAGTAATGGAGGTCAGAATAGTAAGTTGTGTTTATATTGAATGCATTTATGCTACATATTCAATCGTTACAAATACTCTTGATTTTTATTTTGTCGCGGATTATTGTTTATTGATCTGTATGGTAGTCTTGCGGTAGACCAATATATTATTTATTTTAACAAGACTGACTGAATGCTGCTGTCGTCGTCGTGTTTTGTACGTATTGCCAGGGAGTTGTTATAGTGTATTGCACACCAACAGCAACGTCAATTGCCGTGTTCATCATGTGTAAAAGAAAAGGTAGGTAAGCACATTCGATTCAATACTATAATGTAAAATATTGTTCAGATCACGTTAATTTTTACTAAAACACACGTTACACCTACTAGACGACAAGCAGTAGTCGACTTACCACAACTACCTAAGTTCACGCTAGGGCCTAGACGTTCGCATAAACAACACAGACAACTTCTCTAGAGTAAACTGTATACTCTCGCGATAGAAAACAAAATTTCCACAAAATATTAAACATGTTTGATCCAATACCATTATGTAAAGACCGTGTTTGGTTAGATCACTTTTTTTTCATTTTTAATAACACGTGCACCTGCTACATTAACACGACAGAGGCCTAACCCTACCGACAATCCCGTAAACAATTGGTCAACTACACCAACAAGGTATGCATTATGGAGCTCGCTTACCCTCTCGCGATGAAAAACAAAATGTCGGCAAAGTTTTTCCGATGCATGCGCATATCGAAATTTTCTTCTAAAAACGACTCAAAAATGGTGGTGGGGGTATATGTTTTATCACGTACGTCCTACATTTCTCATCTAACATAAAAAACAAACAATTCTTGCACAACTACATGTCCACCAGTTACTATGAGGAAAACATTATACCCACCGTGAGGCACCGTTTAGGAGCCTATTCGTTTACAAACCCGCTGCTCACTTTGCTCACACACACACACACACACACATTTCATGTTCGAATTATCCCATTAGTTCCTTGTGAACTTAAGGTCACAAAGGAACTAATAAAATTGATGCTATTCCACATATGCCTCGGTTATAGATTGGTTGACAGACATGAAAGTACTGCAAGACACTTTTAATTTATTGAGACATTGAATTTTATTGGTACGAAATTTTCGGTAGCACCTGCTACCTTCTTTAGCGTATGAGTATCTAAAGATATATATTACAGCAAACAGTATACATGTTAACAATAGAGATAATGATGGATGTACCGTAGTTATTGCACATAAACAATGTAAGTCACCATGAATAGAGCCTTTAATGAAGCGGAACATTTTACAAGAATAGTGGATACTAATTTAGTGGGATTAAGATAATAAATTAAACCATTATGAAGAATAGCCATGAAAATAATAATAAATAAATCAAAATATAAAAAAAATATGTATAAATAGAGGCCTATGATAAATTACAGGAATGAAAAACGGGAACTACTAAAGAGTTATGTAACATTATTTTAGTGAATGTAAAGTCTGAAGCAACACCTAGTTCCTTATTAGCTCCTATTTTATGAGTCCTAAGTTTCAAAATCCATTTAATTTCAGCACATCTTCTTTCATTAAGTGATCTGAAGTTGTTATCTATAATGATACATCTCATATTATTAATGGTGTGCCTAGCTCCGTTAAAGTGTTTAGCTAAAAGAAGATTATAATTGTTTTTTATAGAGACTTGGAATCCTTTGTCTAAATGTGCAGCCACTCTCCCCGACATAACATACCCCTTTACATACGGTACACCATATGAGATATGATATTATGGGCATTGCAAGTGAGCGAAGGGGGTCTGATGGTGATTTTAGTGTTGGGTACACGGATGAGACTGTCTGTTATGAGGATATGGCAAATATTACAACTGGGTTTACCGCAAGGTTTGTAACCTGGTTGGGGACGGGAAGAGGAAAGATTGGAGAATGTGAGCAAAGATTTTAGGTTGGGGGTTGTCTTCTAGCCAATACGGAGGGTTCTTTGAAAGCTTCAATGTCAGGTATATTATTTTGGATAATTTTGAAGTCGTTTGGATAGGTGACTGAGTTAAGTACTGTGGGTGGAAACCATAGGGAGCCGCTGAGATAGGGTTTTGGGTTTGTATTGTAGAAGTTGATCTCAGGTTTTGTTGGATGTTTTGGCCAGGTATTACTTTATTATTTTGATGGGATATTTACTTTGTGCAAATTTGTTGACGAGCGTGCCAATGTGTTTGTCATGTTCTTCTACAGAGCAGCTTGGCTGTAGATGACCGAGTGTTTGATGCTGTCAGGGTGTGCACATATATATATATATATATATATATATAGAAAAATATGGAGACGATGGTAAATGAAAATACAGACATCGAAGGTAGACTTAATAAACTATTTGTTATTTTAGATATACACCCTTTATTATTATGTTAATGTGACAAGATGATCTGTCTAAGCTATTTGATTATGTCTTCACTTACACGCTGAAGATGGTTGTAGGAACAACCAAAATATATGTGAAACTTATAAATAAATCGTGTTTGGATTCAATATTTCGACATTAATTATGTCATCATCAGGAATATAAATTGAACGACTTCAATTTATAAATAAATATTTTTGTGTTCCTTAAAGTCTACCTTCAATGTCTGTATTTTCATTTACCATCGTCTCCATATTTTTCTATCTTACTTTGAACACACGTGCTTACCTATGTTATAATATATACATATATATATATATATATATACATATATACAATGTACATTTATATATATATATATATATATATATATATATATATAAAACTTCTGAATATATTTCATGTACTATGTAGGCCTAGCTAGGCCTACAAGCAAACTATAGTATATGAACATGCCAGAATTAGTATAATAAAGTATGTTGTTAATTAAAACACAAACAATATGATAAAAAGTTTCATTTTTCTAAATAATATGTTGTTAATAAAAACATAACAAAACGAAAATAACCAGGCCTAATAAATAACCCCGATGCGCTTTCGCAACTCCATTGGCGCTCCATACTGTATATGTGGCGATGTCAAGCAAAAACGGTCGGAAGTCGGAAAAACCGAATTTTTATTTAACACCATCAGCTGAATAATCACATTATAATAAATAAAACAGTGAAAAAATTATTAAATTCTGATACTTAGTTCTAAAGTTATACCGATTTATATAGCGAGAGGTTAGCAGTTACTGTTTTGAAGAAACGGCGATAAAACTGATGTTTATAACGCCCAGTCACTGGCAGTGCGCTCAGCGTGTGGCTCACTCACATGTGTTCGGTGTGTTCGATACTTCCTTAACAACGGAGGTGTTACCATTGACCGATTGAAATGAAATTTCGCAAAAACATTTTAAATAATGTATTTTATAACTGTACCAAGTTTCATGTACTTACATTCATTAATAAATGTGATATTACGGATTCAAATGTGATGTGTAAACAACCGGAAATCGAACACTGCGACCTTGAAACTAGTGCGTTAAACTATTACAGAACGCGTTTTATTTATCAAGTCTGTGTTATACAGTATAGCCCATTTTTCATGTACCTGTACTACCGAACTTTCTTGTGTAAAAGAAACAGTATTATCAAAGATACTAGAAATACAAGATAGAGTTCTCCACACAAAAAAAGTGTTCCACCGTGTTCCACCGAAATGCATGGTGGGAATACGAAAGCTGGGACGCCCCCTATAGCTGGATTTAAAAATCTTGTGCCACACTTTCGTTACCAAGTCGTCGCGTATTTTATTATCAATTCTCAACAAAGATACTAGATATAAAAACAAACTGGAAAGACACCCAGACAGTGACATCGGTGAATACATAACCTCCTTGGTGGCGGTAGAAATCGTTGCTATTATCCAAATAATACACAAAACAATTAAAGCATAATCATGAATCAGTAAAGGATATAAAATAACAATACAGGGCGGAATCGCATGGCCGGACGCACTCTTAGTGAAAAAGTTTTCCTCCATTAGTGGAAAAGGAAGGGCGCCTTTTGCGTCTGGATATACTTAGCAACAGAAGGGCGCCCTGTATGTTGGGCACAAAGTATAGGAAACTTGCATGGTTAAAAAGATGGGCGCCGCCTACGTTGGGCACGACTTCCGCCTCATTTTTACAATGCGAGAACTCTATCTTGTATTTCTAGTATCTTTGGTATTATTGTTTTATAATTATTACAGCAGTAAACAAGTAACTTCGAGTTTCGAGCTTCGATGAAAACATGTAACGCGCACTACTACCTTGCAGACGCTTCCAACGAAAACCCAAGCGACGCGGTCTTAGACACGCCCCAAAAATGGTCAGCTGACTGGATTATACCAATCAGCATGCGTGTTTCCGTTTGTTGCTAGGCCGCTTCCGAATTGTTTACAGTACCAAAACGACTGTTTTGATTGGTTAAACAATTTGTGAGGATGAACTGACCAATCAAAATTGTAGCTGACATTCTAAGCTTTCCAACGATATCAAACTTGACACGAGTTTGACCCCGGAACACGATTGAAAAAAACAGTAATTTCGTGAGTATTTTAACACGTTGACTGCCAGACCTTTTTTTAAGGTTCCTTCCCGTGTGCCAAAACAAGTTTACATGTACAAACATGCTTTTTTGAAATTTTATCTAGTCATATGTCATCAAAATGAAGAAATTGGCGGGAAAATATTAGGGGGCGAGTATACTCGTCGATGGCACTGTGATAGAACTTTTTACTGACTGTGCCAAATGCGAGTTATCTCGTCCGCTTTTTGCATGAATTGGTATATGTTCAAAGGGCGCCCCCACTTGTACCGCTCGAGTGTACTACCGGCAAAATAACACAACAGACATATATATGTCATTTGTACGTTATCGTCTAGGTGTATCTTCCCCGAACTACCAGCCGTTGAGTCTGTGGTCCTACATTGTATAATAAAGAAGTTATAAACGCTAGAATGTTTCCCCCGATTTGACGAGTATACTCGTTCCTGGCGCCCTCAGCAACACCCTGTGAGCGAGTATACTCGTCGCTGGCAGCCAACGTGTTAAACGATGATTTGCCTTCCATGGCTAGGTAGGCTATTTATTTCAAGTTAGAATGCAACGGCTGAGGCTATCGGCACTGCCGCAGTGCGGAAAAAGGCTGCTGCTTTCTATCGGCACTGCCGCAGTGCCAAATAAGCTCCTGTTTTCTATCGGCACTGCCGCAGTGCCAAATAAGCTCCTGTTTTCTATCGGCAGTGCCAAAAAAGCTTCTGTTTTCTATCGGCACTGCCGCTGCCGCAGTGCCAAATAGGTGCTGTCTTCTATCGGCACTGCCGCAGTGCCAAATAAGCTCCTGTTTTCTATCGGCACTGCCGCAGTGCCGAATAAGCTCCTGTTTTCTATCGGCACTGCCGCTGAGCAGCAGTGCGAAATATGTGCTGCCTTCTATCGGCACTGCCGCAGTGCCAAATAAGCTTCTGTTTTCTATCGGCACTGCCGCCGTAATTTATTATTTAACATATTTATTAAGCTTGCTAAGATTATAATTATAACATACAATTTCTGTTGACATTGCACCACTTTATTTATAGGACTCATAGGCCTACAATGTGGTCTGTTTTACTAGGCATTGGCCATAATTTAATGCTCTATCTGTCATAATTAAATTCAACATTCATACAGGAACTGGTTTTAGGTGTTTTATAACAACTTGACCGTGATTTTAGGGGCGCCTGAAGGAAAGTAAATTAGGCCAGAATTAAGAATTGTGACATAAGCCTGCTGACGGCATCCAGGACTTATATACAGTATTGGTATTCGCAATGGGTGACTGACGTCTTTTATATAGAATTCCCTTTACAATATTTACAATTTTCAGTTTTTATTCGTAGTCGTAAGTGACCGTTTAATAAACAAAAGAACAAACAGTTGTTACCGTATCGTAAATAATCCTGTATTAAATTATCATAATTATTTAAAGTATAACAATTTTTTCCGCAAGTATTTGGGATGGGTACGGGTAAAAACTTCAGTCCAGGCATAATTTTCAGCTTGCCGTTATTTAATTGCAATAATAATAATTATTATATATATAGGCCTATACATATACAAATATTAATATATATGAATACTACTGATATAATGAAGTATATAGTGAAGTAGTTAACTATGTCGTTTATATTTTTTTCTAATGCAACTTTGACTATGACATACTGTACCATCATAATAGTTTGTATTCGTAGTCGTAAGTGACCGTTTAATAAACAAAAGAACAAACAGTTGTTATCGCAAATAGTCCTGTATTAAATTATCGTAATTATTATTATTATAGTATAGTAATTTTTTCCGCGATACCATCATAATAGTTTTTTTAATACTTCAAAAAAGTTACCATTAAATTCCAAGTATATTTAATTTATACATCACTCCTTATCGTCATTAGCCCTGAACCTACAGGTAAAATTAACATTAAAAATGGCCTACAAAAACGACAGAGTGAAATTACAAACGGGGTGTGTCTCACACCTAATTGTATTACGCTAAACAATACAAAAAGTACAATATACAAGTGCAGTGAGGGCTTGCTTTTCTGAATCTAAAGTCTATGTC